TTTCAATTGCAGTGTGGCCTTAAATGCATGACGTGTGCACATTGTGTGTGTGTGTGTGTGTGTGTGTGTGTGTGTGTATGCGCGCGCGTGTGTGTGTGTGTGTGTGTATGCGCATGCGCGCCCTGTACTCAGTGGTTGACGATCTATAAGCTGCGTAAGTTTTGGAAGCTGTTTTCAGTTTTCACAGATGACTAAATATTGGTCGCAGCCTTGTTCAGGTTGTTCGATAGTAGAATCGATACGTTTCGTGGTTGTGTGCGCCTTACGGGTGATCGTTTCCACTGCCAGCTTGCAGTCGACATAGTTCACTTGGGGACCTGTATGCTTCTGTATAAGTACATGTACAAAGTTTCGTTTGGAATTAAGGCTACGTTTACATGGCAACGAAGTAGGACCGAAACGGAACGAAATAGTTGGCGTTTACTACTATCGTTTACACGACAACGCCCGAAAACGATATCTAAACGGAACGAAATGGAAACGCACTTCGAAGTGTTTTGAAACGTTTTCAAAACATTTTCGTTCTCGTGTAAACGGAGCGCGGTCATGGATACCATTCGCCGGGGAACTATATTCGCGGGAAATACCCAACCCTTGCGCCCGCCAGCACATGCCAACTCCAACTAACGTGTTACTCCCCTCCCTTGTGCCAAGCCAGCACGTGCTAACTCCAGCCCGATCGCCCGTTTTCCGTTTTCGTGTAACCGCGATTCAAAACGATTTGCCGTTATCGTGTTAACGGTTTGAAAACGATTCGAGTCCAGCGCGTTTTCGTTCCGTTTCGTTTCGTCTCTGTGTAAACGCAGCCTAACTTTCGCTATAATTATTAATTTGTTAGGGTGCACGAAATAACTAAAGTTTGGACCAAACTAAATTTTTTTCTGAACGTTCGGGGTGAAAAACCTCGACCAAAAACGAAATTTACGTAACGAACCTGCTGGTGGAGTGTTCCTTTTTTTTGTACTGGTGAGTGTAGATCGATCTGGCTGCTGCAGCCTGCAGCCCGATCGGCCGAGCATGTGCCTCTGCCTGCACCTGGTACCCGCGCCCGGTACGCGCGGTCCCGGGTACCCGTTGGGTTTCGCAAGGGATTTCCCCAGTTGACTTCTGTTGCCGGTGAGCACACGTGCATTTTCCACGTTCAAATTTTTTCACGTCTTGTGGGATGATTTGAAAATCATTGTATTTTGTGAAGTAGTTCCGACACACTGGCGCGGCTTGCAATCCCATAATATTCGCTCTTCCTATCACGAATGATCCGTTGTCCTAGGCTTGAAGCAACTGCCATGGACTAGTGCTGTTCTGCTGGAAAGTCCGCTTGATGGCGAGCTGAAAGGAAAGCGAGTTCATCTGCCAGAACACTGCAACAAACAAGACTGCTCGGACTGGGAGTGATCATTTCTTTGGCGCTAAACATTTGCCTAGTCGAGCGCAGCACAGTCTTTCGTTCATTCTAAGCTTATGTCAGTGCAGCTACTGCAGCCTTGAAGAGGGGCCATTTTCACGACTCCGGTGGCAATGCCGGAGCTTCCAGAGATACGTCTAGCAGCAGGTATTGTCAACGATGTGTGCAAGGGGCGCGTCTTCACAGGCGCAGTTCGCAAATCGCCAGTGAGCAAGAACCCGGAGGTGTTGTTCGCGGCGCAAGCCTACACGATCTCTGCGGAGAGTCGCGGCAAGGAGCTAGCATTGAGCCTGTGTAAGCTGGGTCAGGGAGTCTCAGCTCACGGCGGTCACCCGGATAAGCCTGCTGTGAAACTGGAGAGGGGAGATGCCAGCGAGGCTGACAGTGAGCACGATGCCATGCGGCTCCTGTTCCATTTCGGCATGTCGGGCCGCTTTCAGTTCACGACGCGAGCGGACGTGCACAAGCACGCACACTTGATGTTCACGACCAACGAGCACCCGCCTCATATCCTCAGCTTTGTCGACGTCAGGCGGTTTGGCACATGGCACGTGATGCCTGATGACCGTATTTGGTCACCCGATCGCAGTCCCGATCCAGTATGGGAGTATGTGCCTTTTCGGGAGAATGTCTTACGGAACCTGGCCAATGCTGCATTCAATAAGCCGATCTGTGAGGCGCTCTTGAACCAGCAGTACTTCAACGGAATCGGAAACTATCTACGGTGTGAAATTCTCTTCAGGTGGGTGCAGTCTGTGTGGAATGTTGTGTTTGTGGCAAGGATGTGGGTGTGTACGAGTATGTGAGTGTGTGAGTTTGTGTGTGTGTGTGGGGGGGGGGGGGCACATGTGTGCGTGTCTGTGTGCCCTAAAGCTGTGTTCACAACTGGCGCGTGTACGCGTGAAACCACGCGTTTGTGCGTATTTTGCTGGCTTTCGGGGCGCCATGCGTACGGAAACGCACCGAAATGGAAATTCCAACATGTTGGAATTTTGGAATTTTCAGCGCGTATCAGGTGCGTACCAGCGTACATGCCAGTCACTTTGACTGACGGGGTCAAAAAATTAGTACTCGAAGGTGTCGCACACGCTAAATACGACTTGGATTGCTGTTTTTTTGTGAAAGCCTGAGCACGCGTTTGGGCACGCATGAACCGCAAGCGTACCACGTACACGCGCCAGTTGTGAACACAGCTTTAGTATGAAACGAGTGTCTGTCTGTACGTCTGCTGTGGTCACTTACATCGATATGTTTTTGTGTTGTCTGCTTGCATGCTGTGCTCTGTCTTCCTGTAAGAGTGTATTTAACTGTCAGCATGAGTCAGCATCATGGATTCGTAGCACACATGGAGACGGCACAAGGATGCTGTACCTGAAACGATGTGCGTTCAACCTCGGATGTTCTACGTGATCCGTGGAGTAGGCGCCTCGCGCTCACAGCCTTGACCTGCAGACTCCAAGCACGGCCCAGACAAGTGGTGCAATATGCAAGCATGTATAACCAGCCATGCCCATGGGGCGACTGAAATGGCCAGCCCGGGGTTGACGCCCACATGATTTAGCTTTAGAGTGACCTGTGTCGTCGTCTCCCCTTGCGCTATGACACCGTGTCAGCGTGTATGCACACGTGAAACCTTCTTGGCAGTAATCAACTTTCTGGCTAAGGTGACATGGAATGGTTCTACCACCCTCACACACATGTCCCTTTCTTCTACTAGTGCGATAAACAGCTCCCCGGTTCAAACTCCAAAAAGGCACCACTGTACAGTGCATGCGTTGATAGACTACAGCATCGCCACCATTGTTCAATGACAGTGTGCGTTGTATATGCCCTGCGCACTGTGTGTGAACATGATACCCTTCCAGCACATTGGCGTCGGAATGTATTTTAGTGCGCTACAATCGACCACCTGAAGTACTCCTGCGCAGCCTCCAGTTGTCGAAATTTAGAGCCAAAAAAGTTCTATTAGTTCACGTGGTGCCCGGGACACAAAGTGGTGCGGACAATACCGTAGCGTGTCCGGCTGCTCTGTCAATTTGTTTTTCCAGTGCAACGTTGAGTTGACGGTGAGAGTTGAGCAGCTGAATGCCTATCTGTATGACTGTTTTCCTTCTTCCCTATCTATTTGTCTGTCTGCGTTCTCTTTACAGAGCGTCAATACCACCGTTTGCTTGTGCGCGTGATGTGCTGACCGGCCTTCCCAAAGACCAAGGATTTACAGAAGTTAAGGTGAGTGTGGTAGTCCCACTCAACTGTGTCTTAATAACAGGGGCGTCGCACATGGTACGGTCACTACGGTATTGACCATACCACGTTTTGCCCCACACACCCCGTAAAGCAACAAAATACACTGATCTGGGATCTAAAATTCCAAAATTTTCGGCTCAGCCACCTCTCCCCCACGAGTCAATTGTACTTCAGATGGCTGACTGTACCACACGAAAATACCTTCCGACGCCCCTGAATAATGTGTATGATTCATGATGTAATGTGTGTTTGGTCTCAGTCATTGATAAGCCGTCAGTAAACTAGAAGCATAGGACATGTACTCTGTTCTTGCTGTACGCATTTTCCCCATACTCGACATGCCCGGACTGCGGAGTAGTGCCAGGTGTTGGACCAGTGACGTAGGTCTCATGTGATACTTGTTTTGGCTACATTGTACATATTTGCGCATGCTTGCGCAAGGTCGAGGAGATCGAGAGAGAGAGCCCGAGAATGGCGGCCAGATCCATATTGTCCTGATTATTTATTATGCAGAACCCTTTCCTTGTATTTATTCTTATTGCATGTATTGACGATCCCTTTGCTGGATTGAACCGTGTTGGCTGGTGTGATTGACGAGTTGACAAAAACAGTGAGCATGGAGCAAAGCATTACGAGAGAGCTTGGAAGCTCAGGGCCCTACGCCATGCTCTTTTGCCTTGATGACCTATAGTGCGTTTCAAAAGTATAGACCTCTAGACTTTTTCGAATAATTCAAATTTGATTCGAGCTTTTTGAGAAGTTTCTTCGGAATATTGCTCAGGTGGCTCACGCAATTTTTCTCATGTAAATTTCTAAGCGATTGGATAACAGACGCCCAATTTCGAAAATTTTATGCACAAAGTGATCACAGATTTTATGTGGTATAGATGCTGGCCTAACGGTTTTTTGAAACCAGAGGTCTGGACTTTTGAAACGCACTATAGGCAAAAAAAAGCATAGGGATGTTATAATTTTTTTCATTTCTCCTTTATTTTTCAAGACGTAACCTGGGATTCGAACCCGCATTATCGCCCTGCATGCAGCCCCCGATACACTTGGCATACATACTAATTCTTCCAAGTTGCTTCACGTTATGATCTTGCATTTGAAAGCCCTATTTGAATATTGTGGCCAGCCGTCTTTGATGGCACGGTACGGTACGGGACAGGTACGGTCGAGGGTAATACGACACCGTCTACCACCTTGATGACAAAGGCAAAAAACCATAGGGATTTTATAAATTTTTCAATTCTCCTATTTTTTTCAAGGCATAACCTGGGATTCGAACCCGCACAATCGCCCTACATGCATTACCCGATACACTTCGCATCCATACTCATTCTTCCAAGTTGCTTCACGTTATGATCTTGCATTTGAAAGCCCTATTTGAATATTAGCAGGCAGGCATAGTGGGATGGTCTAAGACCATGATTGAGAAACAGAGGGTGCCAGGTTCAAGTCCTGCTTGGAAGCGGAAGGATTTTTTCTAGCCGTGCTGCGACCCACAGTTAATAGACCAATCCCGAAAAGATTGTCTGGGTTCGAAAGGGGGCATGTCAACTGAGAGTACACTGTACAACACATACATGGCACTACCTGATCAGCATGCGGCACAGGACGTGTTTGATAGTTCGCGTGTGAATGCGAGGGTAAGTACACGATTTTCTCGTTAGTTGCATGCAAGAGAGACGATGCGACAGAAAGCGAAGCCCTTTGTAGTTTTTTCTCTCGCACTGGTAATGGTCTGCTGTTGGAGTTGAAATGCTAAGACATAATCCTTGTTTCGCTCTTCTGTGTAGTGTGAAGAGGTCAACGAACATGTAGAGCTCACTTTGATGAAGTAGGCAAGGCTGTGAGCGCTGTGGCTCAAAGCGATAGGCCCTAAATCTTACGAGATATTTCGAGTGCTATTGTTTGTTGCGAGCGCTTCGTCTTCGATGAATCCTGCCTCTTTCCTGGCAGCTGCCCTCCCTTAGGACCAACCACGACGTGACTGTACTCATCTGCAGCCGATCAATGTTATATTGCACAAGAAGATATCGTTTTCGCCAAGCCAGTGCCCCGCCAAAGACCATCGCCGTGTCACACCGTCGGAACGAGTTCATGATGAGAAACATCATTCGCGCGAGCGTGATGAAGAACTAGTTCGAAAGACAACATAGTCTTTACCCCCGGGACGACAACTATGCGCACGTCCTGCAAGGGGAGAATGTCACCAGCGACATCAACGAAGACGACGGCAGTATTTCGGAAACCTGGAGTCAGCGGAGGTCGTCAGGCTAGCTCCTCCGCGACCTGGTACATGTACAGTATAGGTGACATGTCGACACGAGCGTGCGGAAACACAGCATACACTGTAGTAATGATTATGTTGCGAGAGTTTGCGGAAGGAGTCCAAGTCGGGAAATCCATCAGCTCCAAACGCTACCTGTAGGTGGGCGATGAGACTCCAGCTTCAGACTACAACAGTCAGGACTTGAAAAAAGTTGAACTTTGTGAAGCAGCAGATCGAGAAGTAACGTGTTAGTTAGCTGAAATCGTAGCTGTTGCAGTATGTCGGCGCTATGTAGCTTGCATTTTTTACGGAGAGTCGATCGCCACGCGAATGTTTCTCTCCTCACCGAGAGCTATCTGGCCTCCAAACTCCGTCAGGGTCTGCCTAAGGTACCGAAGGTCCTTTGACTAGCTGCTGGCAGGACTCCATCAAATCCTTTAGCTTCAGCTCGGCGAGCAAAAGTCTCTCTCTCCTCCGCCATGAGCTGTCACACACAAACTGAATACAAAACGATGCACTTCACACGTGCTGGCTTGCACGCGTGCCCCCTTTCACGAACCCAGACAATCTTTTCGGGATTGGTCTATTGGGAACTCGTGGCCTGGCACGAGGAAAACATGGATGCAGTGAATGGGATTTTCGGTCTTTGACCACTTGCTGGTGAGCTGATCTACTCACCTCCCACCGCTTTAGGAGCTGCATCTGCGCCTTGATCCTTGAAGGGTGGTGGCGTTCCTACGGATGCGGAAAACCCGGCTTCCAGCCGAGTCTCACGCGAACCGTGAATTTTTTTTTTTTTTTTTTTGAATATTGTGGCCAGCTGTTTGTGGCCAGCTGTCTTTGATGGTACGGTACGGTACGGGACAGATACGGGATAGCGCCAGACGGAGGTCCGTCCGTCCGCCACAAACACCAGATTAAAAAAGAACATGAAAATATGCAGAATTTTGAAATTTTCAATCGGCTCTCAAAGGGTTAAAGCTGTGTGGTCCCTGGCTAGCGCTAGACGTTACTGAAGTAACGTCTTCTGCATAGCTACGGGAATAATTATCACTGTATTACATGTACGTGCACATTGTATTGTTATGCTGGGTGTTTACTGTGTTTGTTTGTGGGGGGGGGGGGGGGCTGTGTGTGTGCTCTCTCTCACTCTCCCTTTCCTGCTCTCTCTCTCTCTCTCTCTCTCTCTCTCTCTCTCTCTCCGTCTCCTCTCTCTCTCTCTCTCTCTCTCTCTCTCTCTCTCTCTCTCTCTCTCTCTCTCTCTCTCTCTCTCTCTCTCTCTCCGTCTCTCTCTGTCTGTCTGTCTGTCTGTCTGTCTCTCTCTCTCTCTCTCTCTCTCTCTCTCTCTCTCTCTCTCTCTCTCTCTCTCTCTCTCTCTCTCTCTCTCTCTCTCTCTCTCTCTCTCTCTCTCTCTCTCTCTCCTCTCCCTCCCTCCCTCCCTCCCTCCCTTCCCTCCCTCCCTCCCCTCCTCCCTCCCTCCCTCCCTCCTCCCTCCCTCCCTCCCTCCCTCCCTCCCTCCCTCCTCCCTCCCTCCCTCTCTCTCTCTCTCTCTCTCTCTCTCTCTCTCTCTCTCTCTCTCTCTCCTCTCTCTCTCTCTCTCTCTCTCTCTCTCTCTCCTATTCCCCCACCTTTGTCCTAGTCTGGGGATTGCCTCTGACAGAGCGCCATCATTGACCCCACTTCCGATGCTGGATTATGATCGTCTTGGATCACAGTATTGAGTTCTGTGTGTATTGTGTGAATTTGTGCAGGGAAGTAAGCAGATGTACTACAGCTCTGTCATGATCTGCCCAGGAGGTGTTGAACTTGAGTAAGCGACTTCACTGTATAGTGTATAATATTGGCATGCCTGTGTCGTGTACATTTCCAGGTGTACCGTAAAGTATCGCCAGAGCGCCCCGTCTCGCGAGAGCGCCCCACCTTGATTTTACAGCCAAGGGCAGAAATTCGTATGGCAGAATGCTACTAAGTTTGTACGGTGTGAGAACCTTCGTGTACTTAGGTCACACGTGGTGTGCTTTTATGTGGAGCTCGAAGGTAAACTGGGTACGGGTTGACTGCACAACGTGCAATGTTTGTACAAGGTCCGTGTCGTATGACCTACGGACAGGAGTCCACCTTCACAAGGCGGCCACGAAAGGACGAGATGGTGGGGCACTCTGGCGGTACTTTACGGTACTTATAATCCAGCATGACTTGAGTCTTAGAATGTGCTACTGTAAAACCAGAACATTTCGTTGGAGATTTATTTTCCGTACCTTCGGTACAGGTAACTTTTACCTAAGAATGAAACGCGGCCTAAAATTCATGCCACACGGTGTGCGAACTGCGAAATGCATTTCTGGATCTGGAAACTGGTTTACCGAAATTTTCGCGCTACCGAACCGTTGAATTTTGCGAAATACCGAAAGTATTGCACCACCTAAAATTCCTGGTTTTACAGTATAAGAACGCAGCCGAATGGCTGAAAAGCTAATAACGCTCCAGCCGGAGCCCTTTGAATCGACCAGACTCACTGCATTTGTGTCTGTTTATTAGTCCATGGGCTTATGAACGGAGGTGGGCTTATATCCGGATATAGGCCCGGGGGTTATATGCGCGGAATTGCGGTATGTAATTTCTGCCTCTGAGCCACCATCACCTTTTGTGGATGCGTGTGTAGCGATTTCTTGCATGTGATTTCTTTTTAAAAGTAGAATTTCTGCCACCATGTACTCTGCGCTTCTCTTCGCTTTGTTTTCGTTGCCCGTGCCCTCATTTTTCTCTTTGCTTGCTGGTATTTCTGGTTTTTGTATTCATGGATCCCTATGCTGCATGAGCCACGTGTACTATTGGGTGAAAAATAGTAATATGTTCACTAGTTGAGAGAATGGGAAAGGGAAAAAGTCTGAAGAAAAATTGACTGTCGCCAACACTGTCCCATGTGATCCCATGTGACTGTCCCAATTGCTTTCGTACCAATTGCTTTCTTCCCAATTGCTTTCGTCCCAAATGTTTTCGTCCCAAATGTTTTCGTCCCAAATGTTTTCGTCCCATGTGTTTTCTTCTACTTGGTATTAGGCTGCAACGGGTAGGGCTTTTGGTTGGGTAACAGGTTCGGCTATTTTTATCCGGGTAGCACCGGTACCCTATCGGGTATTGTTTTGACACAGTTTGTAGTGTGAGTGTGCACTTGTGCTACATAGAAAGTGTACAGTAAGCACGTAGCCGTGCTGTTTACATGCACCGTTGCAAAAACACCATACTCCAACTACACGATTGGGTTCTCAGGAGCAAATTGCTACCCTACTACCCGATCAAATTACGGGTAGCACGGGTACCCTGCTACTCGTTGACACCCCTACTTGGTATTCTTTTTACATGTTTTATTATTGGCTCAATATCCAAGATAAATTTTGACCACCAGGACTCAAAACAATGCTTGCGATGATCTGCTCTTGTGCACAGGGAATGGGGCAGGTTACGACCCGGATGGTACAGAGGAGAAATACTCTGAGTTTCTTGGCTGGCTACAATGCTACACCAGGGCTGGCTCGTCTAATTGCCGCGATCACAACGGACGCACCGTCTGGTACCAGGTGAGTGATGTATGCATACTGTACTGTTGTGTGGTTGCGATGTCTGTGTCTGTGTCTGTGTCTGTGTGTGTGTGTGTGTGTGTGTGTGTGTGTGTGTGTGTGAGGGGGGGGGGGGGGGGGATTTGGGTTTCAAATGTTTTTTCATTGTGTATGTGCGCATGTGTGTGTGTGTGTATGTGTGTGTTTGTGTGGGTGCGTGTGTGTGTGTATGTGTGTGTGTGTGTGTGTGTGTGTGTGTGTGTGTGCTTGCGTACGTGCATGTCTGTGCTCACAGGGTCCACTCGGCAAGCTGGCACCGAAAAGTGAGTCCAGTTCTTGGCTTGGCTAGTTGACCTATCCGTCATGATCTGTTTTTTTTTTCACCCGACTTGAGAATCCTTGCTTGTACACCGGCCCATCGTTTCTGTACACCGAGTGACCTAAGACAGTACTGTAACAAGTGATTGCCAATTTCATCTCTCAGTCAGCTCAGAATCTTGTCCTAAAGCACATTGAATCATTTTCGTCAGGAGATCTATTGATGAAAGGAGTAGGGTATGAGTACTGTCGGGCGCCGGAGAACGGCCAGGCTGGAATTTCACCAAGCACAGCCTACCAATGTATACACGGTGACTCAACTGTGCATAGACTGTACTACATGAAAATGAGGACAATCTAGGCTACAAGGCGCCCCCTCTAACACCCCCCCCCCCCCCCCCCTGGTTCTTTGGCGCTCGACAGCACTGTAAAGTAATTAAGGATTGCATTGGTATCATCCGTGCATCTCCACCAGCTCATCTAGTGTCATCAACTCCTCTTCTGTTTTTGCGTCTGCAGCTTTGAAAACTGTCGGCAAGGCAAGATTGACCAAGCCACCCGCAAGAGACGTCAAACTGGATCCAGATGCCGATGGTGGTGGTGAGTCCAAGAAGTCGAGCGTGCGGCCGGCAACAGCAAAAGCGAAGAAGTCGGTCGCTGGCAAGACAGAGAAAGCTTCTGCACCACCAAGGCCTCGAGCACGAGCAAAAGTGACGGAGCCTGCCGACAGTGCGTCGGGACAGAAAGCAACACCAGCTACGGCAAGATCTGCGGTAGGTAGTTGTTGTTGTCCGGATAACTATCCGAAGTCACCAGTTCAAAAACCCACCACTCTACGTGCCATTACTTTTTATTCCCGTAGCTATGCAGAAGACGTTACTTCAGTAACGTCTGGCGCTAGCCAGGGTCCACACAGCTTTAATTTGGTGTTTGTTTGTTTGTTTGTGTCACGCCTGGCGCTATCCCGTATCTGTCCCGTACTGTACCGTACCAGCAAAGACAGCTGGCCACAATATATATGTTTGTTTGTGCCATCGACATGCCTGGCGCTATCCCGTACCTGTCCCGTACCATCAAGAGTACGGTACCATCAAGAGAATGAGTATATTTGCGAAGTGTATCGGGGGAATGCATTCAGTGCAGTAACATTTTGTGTGGATTTGTGTGCGAGGCCGAGATCCCACTAGAAGGCTGGCTGGGCCGCCTGTCGACCAGCCCGTGAATCGCATGTAGGCGGATAGCATAATAATTATAACGTTTATACAGTCATGTAGATGTATAGCAGGGAGTCATATTATGTAAACGACTCCCTGCTGTATGGGGAGATTTTCTGGAAAGAAATACGAAGTAGGGAGACGAGTAAATGCAATCAGAATGGATGTTAGTTGCCCTCAGTATAATAATAAGAAGAAGATAAACGCCCGTGATCGGCAGAGTCAGCGCCGGTCCCAGGAAACGTCAGAACAGACATCTCGTCGACTCCGGAACACCCGTGATCGGCAGAGTCAGCCCCGGTCTCATAGCTATGCAGAAGACGTTACTTCAGTATCTCATTGAAGCGTTTTTACAATACAATGATGTAGCTAATCAAAGGAAAAAGCATTTCCATCAGTTCTAACAACATGCGCGATGAGCTAGGCAACAAAGCATAACGCAGGGCCCTGAGCTTCCAAGCTCTCTCGTTATCAAACCAAAACCCCCCCCAAAAAGAACCTTCCCGGTCGAAAAGGAAGCCCAGCCAGAACTCCAAAAGCCCAGCCAGAACTCCAAAAGCCCAGTGCGCTTGTGTTGCCACAGCTAGTACAGGCTGCAAAAGGGGTCTCAGCACAAAACACAATCATAACAGTCTTACATGTGCACATGTACAACACAGCGCTGTAGTATGACCGTACGGACCGGCAGCTACATCTACGAACAAATTTAGAAGATTCAAAACATTCATAGCGCACGTAAATAAGTGAGGCTTCGGCTCGCGCCGCTGAGCGGAGAGAGAGATGGAGAAGCAGAGAAGGCGATGCAACAGAAGTGAAGAACTAGGCATTGATAGAGTGAGACAGAAAAAGCGGCAAGGACATGACAACGCTGCAAATAGGGGAGTCACGTGTGCACACCCACTAACATGACAAGACGAAAATAAATAATCAAACGAGGTAAGAAAGTCAAGCGTTCAAAAGGCAGTCTTGAAAACAGGTTCGAATGATGCACAGAATTACTGGATCTATACCACGACTGTGACAGTAGTACTGCTGCAGTTCATTCACGCCACTCGATCGCACTTCCGATTCAGAACGCTCTATGTAGCTGTGAAGAACCACATTCGGAATGGAGACTGTAGGCCGTCCAAGGCTACCAATAGTATTTTCAAAACGAAATGTTTTCGTTTGGAGGTGGGTGGCCTGTAGGAGTTTTGTCTTGAAAACAATAATATTATTATTATTGGATGTACATGGAGAATGCCCAGTTACTTCTGGGTGCTGAAGATGGAAATCAATATTTCGTTGGACTACGGTGAGAATACTGAACCTTTTCGTTTCGCAAAAAAACAATCGGTAACACCTGACTGCCCCTGAGTTTGTTACCCACCTTTTAATGTTTATTACTTTGTGTAGCGGTCCGCGCGCGCGCGCGCGCGTGTGTGTGTGTGTGTGTGTGTGTGTGTGTATGCATGCATGCGTGCGTGTGTGTGTGTGTGTGTGTGTGTGTGTGTGTGTGTGCGTGTGTACGTGTGTGTGTGCATGCGCGTGTACCAATGCTGTTTTAACGATCCACAATCACTGTCGAGATAGCTATTGCATGGCCAGAAGTGCACACAGAACCTGTGCCGGTGCCAACATACGAAGCAACTTTTTTTCATTTCCTAATGTCCTGTTCAATGTCCTGTCCAATTCTGTTTGTAAAGAGAAAAGCACCTACAAGTTACTAGTTATGACTAACAGTCCACCAACGTAAAGAGATAACATACAGTCAGATAACTTAGTGCGACAATAAGGCACTAAAGTGACAAGGATATTGAGACATTCGACCACCAGACACCTAGTTAGTCAAAACTAGTAAGTTAACGGTCCTTTTTCTCTTTACATATCACTATTGGCTCAACATCCGAGTTGTTATCAATTCCGTTTGTTATTTGTTATGTCTCGATCATGCCACTGTAGAGAATTCGTAGTAAGCACACTGACAAGAGTCTGGACAAAGCGGAGAAGACAAAGAGAACAGCGGCTACAAATAAATCTGGCAAAGGTGATTTGTTGATATCACTCCGTTGACTCAGTGAACCCTTTCCAGGAAACCCTTTACTTTGTTACAATCGTGCCTGCTGACCCTGCTGCTTTTGTTGTTGCTGCTGCTACCGCCGCCACTGTTGCTGCTGTTTCCGGTGGTGGCGTTGCTGCTGCTGCTGCTTTTAGCTGTCGCTTTTTGTTTTGTTAACTATGTCAAATTGTCTCTTTCACGAAGACCTGTGTTTATAGTTGTTGCTTCTGGTGGTACCACTGCTGCTGCTGATACTACTGCTGCTACTGCTACTGCTGCTGATGCTGCTGCTGGTACTGCTGCTGCTGGTACTGCTGCTGCTGGTACTGCTACTGCTACTGCTGCTACTGCTGCTGCTGCGGCTGCTGCTGCTGCTGCTACTGGTGGTGCTGCTGCTACTGCTACTGCTGGTGCTGCTGTTGCTGGTACTGCTGCTGGTACTGCTGCTACTGCTACTGCTGCTGATGCTGCTGCTGCTGGTGGTACCACTTCTGCTGGTACTGCTACTGCTACTGCTGCTACTGCTGCTGCTGCTGCTGCTGCTGCTGCTGCTACTGGTGGTGCTGCTGCTACTGCTACTGCTGGTGCTGCTGCTGCTGCTGGTACTGCTGCTGCTACTGCTACTGCTGCTGATGCTGCTGCTGGTAGTCACATCCTTTATTGCTGAACCCACAAATAATTGTGATACAGATTGTAAACCATTCGAGGAAGAAGATAGTCATTTAAAAAAAAAGAAGAAAAAAAAGAAAAGGTTATTGTACCATGCCAGACGGCTATTATTAAGTCATGTACCAATTGTAGTACATGACGTAGTAGTCACGCACCTACAAAATACTTTGCAGGATAATATTTAAATTGCCTAGCATGCCTACAAATCCGCAGAGCATGCCAATGTTAAATAGGCCAACATATGAATACCGAAGGCGGTTACATGGACAGAAGGCGACATCGGTCGAGAAAAGATGGGCCTATTCTCTTCCGCAAGTAAGACGCTCTGCAACCACGGAGGCACATGATTGACCACCTCAGCAAAACAAATGCAATTTTGCAGCGTAGCTGTGCCATCACAACAGCGTACTGGAGGTCACTATGCTTGTTAACCACCAGCTGAACAATGTTCTTCAATGCACGAGAGCACTCCGCTCCACATACGCCGTTTGTCGAAAATACGAGCGGAGTGAATGACCCCCTCTCGACATCGACAACACGCTGAAGATAGGCCCGCTTCTTCTGATGTTCATTCCGGGAAATCTGTGCAAGGACTTCCTGTCGCGAAAGCAAAGACGCCGAGGGGTGAGTAACCCTCACATCAAAGAATGCATCTTGCTGTGGCGACCAAAAGCCCCTTGCACGGATATCCAATCGAGCCTCTGAAGCACGATTAGCGGTAGCGCCGTGAAGTTGTTCACCATCCAACGGCAAAAGCGGTGGCTCTGTTTGAACATCCGGGATGGCAGAAGTCATCACCTCCACCAGCACATCACGAAGCTCATTGTGTCGCAGACTTGGGTAGCCCCCTGTAGGGCATGTCAATGCATGGTCGACAGACATGTCTCTACCACACACACAAGGTGGTGGGAGGCCATCAATACCCCAGCCATAGCGCAGGGCGAGACCATCCCGGAAACATGCTTTAGTTAGCGCAAAGCCGTTCACAGCCAGAGGCTCAGCCGTTAGCCAACTAGAAACGCCAGCATCAGCAGCAATCTCCAACACCACTCGCTGACATGGGCTGAGCTCAGGACGCAAAGCAACCTGAGCCTCCTTAGCCGCAGTGGCCATTCTCCGACGTTCGGCATTTCGCAACGCCATTACCTCAGCCTGCAAATCAGCCGGAGCAATGTCAGCATCAGGGCCACGAAGCAAATCAATCACCGGCCGTGCCGAGGCCATACTGGAGGTCCACTGATGCACTGCATGAGGCCCAATGGCAGGAATTGAGAGACCACCGGACTTAACAGGCAAGCCGATGAGACTCCGCTCAACGGTGGACATGCTGCTGCTGGTACTGCTGCTGCTGGTACTGCTACTGCTACTGCTGCTACTGCTGCTGCTGCGGCTGCTGCTGCTGGTACTGCTACTGCTACTGCTGCTGCTGCTGCTGGTACTGCTGCTGCTGCTACTGCTACTGCTACTGCTGCTGCTGCTGCTGCTGGTACTGCTGCTGCTGCTACTGCTACTGCTACTGCTGCTGCTGCTGGTACTGCTGCTGCTGCTGCTGCTGGTACTGCTGCTGCTGCTGCTGCTGCTGGTGGTACCACTGCTGCTGCTGCTGCTGCTGGTACTGCTGCTGCTACTGCTGCTGCTGCTGCTACTGCTGCTGCTGCTGCTGCTGCTGCTGCGGCTGCTGCTACTGGTGGTGCTGCTGCTACTGCTACTGCTGGTGCTGCTGTTGCTGCTGCTGCTACTGCTGCTACTGCTGCTGATGCTGCTGCTGGTACTGCTGCTGCTGGTACTGCTACTGCTACTGCTGCTGCTACTGCTGCTGGTACTGCTACTGCTGCTGCTGCTGGGACTTCTACATTACTGCTCATCATCAGGTGCACTGTTGTATATGTTCATTCCGCTACATGACCGTGGCTAACTGAAATTTGATTTGCCTTCGTCTATTTAACCTGGGGCTGCTTGAATGCCATTGGTCACTCTGATCTTCGGGTATGATAGCGTTGTGTGTGTGTGTGTGTGTGTGCGCGTGCGTGCGTGCGTGCGTGCGTGTGTGTTGTGTTCCTCCTCCATCCAGCGCCCGATTCATCACGATCGAAAGCAGCCAGCACGCGCAAACGCGGTGTAGCTAGTGCCTCCTCGCCGCCATCACCGCCGGCCGTAAGCAAAACTATGTCATCCACGCGTCGCAGCACCAGCAGACGTGCTGCCGTGGCGATGAAGTCCACGAGGGTCGCAGCCTTGACTACGAAGGCAAGCGCTCCTGCCACCGCTCGCCCCACTCGACCTCGTGCACGCCGCCAAAGTAAAACATGTAAGCCTTCGAACATAACTATCATGTCTTGTTGTGTCACCCGTAAGGTCGCGTACTGTAAGCTGCCTAATGTTTGCGACATAATAATTATTATTATTATCAGCCCGTTTGCATTGACATCGCCAAGCAAGCTAGGCTAGTCTTCGCTTAGGCCAAATGGAATGAAGAATGAGGAACGAGCGGGTTCAATGAGGTGCTGCTACGTATGCAACAGCAGAATAGGAAAGAAAGAAAAATTATATCAAAACAGTCCTCAAGTCTGTGGACAGCAACTGTTTCGCTCTGTTAGAGCTCATCAGCACAGCTCAGAGGACCGAAGCGCAGCTCTTCGTCAGTCAAACAGTCCTAAAACATATTAATGCGACATATTAATGCGACATATTAATGTTTGCTAATTTTGCGAGAAGAGTAGAACGCAAGTATCAACCATCATGAAATCAAACTTCAACAGTGGGTGTATATGTGTGGCCATAGTGCTCCGCGAACATTTCCCATCGTAAACTCGCTGGTTCTGAGAGATCGCAACACTTTAGTGACGCAAACATTGTGCGGTTTACAGTATTACAACCGGGCCTATTCCTGTAGAAACCGATATAAGAGGTAGCCTGCTATTCAAACCAGGCATTTCCTCCGCTAAGCAAAACTTCGTTGCCTTTTTCTTGTGTTCTTGTCATGGTCTTTCTGTCGGCATTAGACAAACATGTCAGTGATCTATCCCCTACATAGGGTAGCCGCAGTGTCGTCCGTCCATTGTTCTGACAGGCTTTTGAACCTCCGAAAAGCGTAAAGTCCCTGAAAAAGTCGGCGAAGCATAACCGTTTCTTGACAGGATGTCACCGGAACACAACCCAGGCACATGACACCGAAGTGTGAAAATGAGAAACAGTTTAAAAGACTGCGTGGCTCGAAGCACAGCCCAGAATTCATGCAGAAACCGGCTTGCTACTGCTGTACCAGCACGATGGTACACGTCAGCACACAGCCAAAACAAATCAATGCACGTGTGTTTGCAGCGCAGGGGAAAGCAAAAGGTTCGACATTCACATTGTTGTTCAGCCGGCGCAAAATCCCGATCTCAACGTCGACGACTTGGCGTTCTTCTACAGGCTGAAGACGGAGACGTGTCACTCGTGGCGAAGGAAACCAGAAAGGAGCTTCTGCAGGCTGTGGAACCGTGCTGGCACGAGTACCCCGCTGCCAAGGTGAGGAGCGTTTGGTTGTGTCCGTATGGCTCTTTCTATATGGCATTCTGGAGAGTCTGAGCGACGGAGACAGCAACTACCAGCGTAGACGTGGAAGTCGTCAAGCTCCCAGTTCGAGCCAAGAACTTGGCGATCTCCACGATCAAATCGTGTCTGGGCAACTTGTAAAGGCTGCAGGACAAGCTGCCTGCGCTGGAGGCGAAAGTCAGCGAGGATGCCGACTCGATGTCATCAAGGATTGAGTCGTCATCAAATTCAGACGAAGAATGAAGCTGGACTGCTTTGAAACGAGCTGTGTGACATCTGTAAATATCTATCTCTCATATGCTGCTTTTTTTCCACTTTGCAAAGCGTTTTCGTAGCGACAGAATGCTTCGGACTGAACTGTAAAAATGCAACGAAGTTTTGCTTAGCGGATGAAGTATTTCTATGTATGCCAACACTATAACCAGGCGTATGTGCATCTTGACAAAATCAGGCTTCTATTCAAGACCCGCTTCTATGTTAGACAGGCTTAAGACATTACAGTATATTATATTATATGAGCCGCGCCAAGCTAAAAAGTGGCTTCGTGTTTTGCCAACAAATCGAGAAAATCAACAAAACGTCACAGCTGGCAAAATTCTACTCGAGCGCGATCGCGATAATAATTCACTTTCAAGGAATTAAATTTTAGTTTGCAAGCAGATGAAGAGAGAAGCCGGCGCCGTATTATGTTTGAGCAACACTTCTTCAGTTTTCCCTCTTTCATCGTTGTGGGGATTCCTCAGCGCTGCCAGAGATCGTAATGGAGCTTCTAGAGAATGTGGAGGTGAGCAGAATGACATTCTGTATCCGTGTGCGCCCAAACCTACTTGACAAGGAAGAGTCGCTCATTCATAGTGGCTGTGTTTCTTATCGTGGCCACGACTAGAGCGGCGAATAGCTATGGGGAGACGTCTACGAGCCTTCCGACTATCATTCTGACAAGCGGCCTGGTGAGTTGGCTCTTCCTGCCATGTTTCAATTTGTTTTGGCTACCTTCAATTTAGTGTTCATGACGTGGCGTACTGGATTTCAAAATTTCCTCGATTCAAGGAAATAGTGCCACACGACGAAGCGATGCATTGACTCTACCCGCTAGCATATTGTCCCGTGGTGCCTTCTACCAGTATCCTTGGCAAGGAAGGAGAATGACATGGACTAGGACGGACAAAGAACCAGTGCTGCTTGTTAGCGATGTGCAGTCTACTGGACCGATATGTAGGTGCGAGGGCAGTACACCAATGGAGCTAGATCTCTGGCACAGCACTACGAGCTACATGAAATGACTAATTCATCCTGACATAGGTGATTGGAGAGAGTATGATGGACTGTCTTGGTAAGATGCGACGTTCCCCAACCCAGCGAAAAATATAGTTACAACATCATGATGAAGGATATGAAAATTCGTATTGCATGATAAAATGACATGAGTCATGATGAAAATATTATGATGATTAAATATCTGTTATTTCTTCTTTCTTGGATCTTCTGATTTGAACACAAGTGCTCATTCTTCTTGTATTGCTTGCACACCTGCTAAGCTTTGTCTCCACTTGGTGTCCCATGTTTTCTTGGAGTTTGGGAAGGTCTTGGAATAGTGTCATTGATACCAGCCATTCGGTGACATGTGCACAATGTATGCTTATTTATGGCACATATACATTTCAGATGGGCACCAAAATTTCCATGATGGAAGTTGGATATATAGACATCACTTTGGCATGAAAAAAGAAATTTCCAAAAATTATGCCTAAGCCACCTTTTAGCTTGGCTCGGCTCATATCTCATACAACTCGAGGCTGACAGAGACAGGAATCCATAACCTAACAAATTTGACGAGGCCAGGCACAAATGAAGGTCTCTTTTGCTATACAATGTTTGGACCGAATTGTGAAAATCTTGTTCTCTGTGGACGTTTACATTGAGATGGATGTTTACAGATAGCTGGACGTTTACAGGGAGATGGATGTTTACAGGGAGATGGATGTTTACAGGGAGATGGACGTTTACAGGGAGATGGACGTTTACAGGGAGATGGATGTTTACAGGGAGATGGATGTTTACAGGGAGATGGACGTTTACAGGGAGATGGACGTTTACAGGGAGATGGACGTTTACAGGGAGATGGATGTTTACAGGGAGATGGATGTTTACAGGGAGATGGATGTTTACAGGGAGATGGACGTTTACAGGGAGATGGACGTTTACAGGGAGATGGATGTTTACAGGGAGATGGATATTTACAGAGAGATGTATTATTCACAGAGAGATGGACGTGAGATGGATGTTTGCGGAGAGATGGATGCCAACAGGCACTTTTTAACTCCCTCTTGTGGTGCTTTCTACAGGAATGGCTTGCGTCGGTGTGATTTATTCCAGTTCCGTTAGCCTGCTCGAGGCTTTGGACAGCATTCCGCTATAGGTACGGGCCCATTGTATGTGCTTTGCCCCCCCCCCCCCTCTCTCTCTCTCTCTCTCTCTCTCTCTCTCTCTCTCTCTCTCTCTCTCTCTACTGTTGGTTGGACTGTGTGCTGTTGAAAGGCTTTGCACCACCGTCCTTAGTCTCTCCTCGCCCTGGGGCAATGACAGGGTCCCTTGATGCAAGGCTTTGTGATGCGGCCATTGATTTCGCTAGTTCTGCTCCGCAACGAGTTTGTTCCTGATTTGGGGGTAGTTAGCCCACCGTTTGCACTGCTCAGTCTGAGGTGCCATAGTGATTTGGCTCGCTGCTGTCCTCACTCCTCAGCCTTGATGTGTCGTGCAGTGGTGACGTCATGATGATATCATGGTCTGCCATAATATTGGTGCTGAGAATACTGTGCAAGTGCTGTGCCAGTTTGTGTACTGCTGCATCATGCTGAGATGTACTTAGGGAAAGGAGGAGCTCCTGATGTGTGGTGTATTGATGACACTATTCGCTTTGTTACTGACTTTGATGATGTCATAATGATGTCATGGTGTTAAGTAGTACTGCGCACATGCTGCACCAATTCTTGTACATTGTTTTGGCATGCTATTAGCGATATGAGGCAGTCCTGATGTGTGATATATTGATGACATCATCCACTTTTCTACTGACTGCGATGATGTCATAATGATGTCATGCTGTTTCAGTGGTACACGGTAATACTGTGCAAGTGCTTCGCCCATCTGTGTATAGCTTCATCATGCTAGCATGCTCTCAGTGACAGGAGGCGATCCTGAATTCCTGATGTGTGGACTGTGGTGTAGTGTGAGTAGTGGTGACGTCATCCACATTACTGCTGGCTGTTATGATGTCATGGTCTGGGTGCTGCTAGCAATGCACGATTGCTGTGCCTTTTTGCATGTACAGCTACATGTATGCTGTGCCGGTGGGCCAGCTTTCCAGTGTGCTGTATCTATCATAGATCTCCATGTGAGCACTCTCAGTCTCCGCTCTTTCTCTTTGATTGTGCCAGAAAACTGCTAGGGGCTACAGTACATCATAACGTTGCAAGATTAGCCACTCCCCGCTGGATACGGTCTCAGCAATTCTGTGTTGTAGACGTGACCAGGTTGTGAGTTGTGTGCCGTGCTGTCGTGCGGCGATGTGGGGTGTACATTGAGTGGCCAATGCCTCATTGCATGCACACACCATTACTTAAGTACATGCATCGTGATACATGGCAGTGGTGCCTATTGCAGGAGGCCACAAGCACTATATACCGAGTATCCGAGACCTGTTATTACTAGTGGTGTGCACGGGTAGTTGGGTGCCCGTGCTACCCGTGAGGACCTCGGGAAAACGGGTACTGAATCGTACCCGAAAACCCGAAGTCGCAGATGATAATCATGTAGAAAGAGAGAGAGAGGTCTACAGTGCACGTGTACACGCATGTCTACCCAGTGTGTAAGGGAAGGGGCCGGTGTGGTCTTACCATGGAAACATTACCCGATCGGGTACCCGTGCTACCCGTGGAAAACTACCCGGACCCGAAACCCGAAGAAAATGCTACCCGACTCAGCCCTAGTTATTACCAAGAGTAAAAGTCCCTGGGCGCTTGTATACTAGTTCTCCTTCACACAAAATCCAGTACGTGTACGACCGTGCAGCCCCTGTCTGAGAATACCATAGCAGGGACTAATTTAACCGGTATCGCATCGCAGTTTGCGACGCAAAACACAGTGTCTGCGATTCGAAGTTCGTAGTGAGTCGCGGTAAACTGCGACACAACATACAGCTAAGTATGGCCCTGGACATAGACTTGTAGTGCACGCGTAGCGCATGCACATGTGTAGCTTTACAGTGTGTGTGGCTGGTTTGGCGCCACGAGATGGCGCGCCATGCACTGTGACTAGATTAGACTGTGTGTGTGTGGTTGTCCAGCCTGCACTGCAGGTAGATTTTACACCATACGCACGCGCGGGCCGCGGGACCATGGCCATATGTCACACTATCTCCGCATGCGCACCGCAGCACGTGCACTTGGAAACTAACTAACTAATTACTTACTTGAAGTGCAGCCCAGGAAGCACGAGGCGAGTGTCGACAAGTACTTCACCTGCTTTTGAGATATAGACCGCGTTGCTTCACTAGCAGTAGGCATCTCGACCGTTCAGGACTTATCTTTGTAAAATTCTGCTAGCCTTATTGATGAAGCCTCTTCACTGCCGGCATGTCTGTGAAGCAAGGTACTGTGGACAAGTGGGTTGCTGAATTTGATCCCAAAAAAGAATGGAATCGCGCAGAGTCGAGTGGCGGAGCTGTGACCAAGATATTTTGCAAGATGTGCAGGGAGAAGGCGTCCTCGCTTCGTGGTTTGAGGAATTACAGCACGGCGTTCGTTGACGGTATAAATGGAAGTGCACTGAAGACTGCATTGTCGACGGAAAAAAACTGCTATGCAAAATTGTTGCGTTGCTAGGCAAACGTCGGGGTGTGTAGCAATTATTGCTATGCAATTTTTTTGAAGTAAATTAGTCCCTGCATAGGTATGGCAGTATTACATCACCATGATCACGGTGGATTAGACTTCTTCAAGTTTTCATTTTTATTTCATCGTCGAGTTTCATCCCTTGTATCTTTGGTTTTCTTCTTTCTTTCCATGTGACATGATGTATTGTTTGAATAAACCCGTTTTGATTACATCACTGTGCATGTTGTGTGTGTGTTGGGGGGGGGGGGGGGGGGGTGTGCATGTACAGTGATCATGAATGTGGAGAGGAGAGTGATTGATTTTTGATTGTCCAAAGGCCGCAGAGGCCTATCGCGATATCGAGGGGCCTATCGCGATAGCGAGGGGCTCTCCTGTGTAAGGAAAGGGAGGAAGTGAAGCAGAAGTCTGCCTCGTTCGAGGCAGTTCGCTTGGTAGATCGAACGGTTCGATCTACCAAGATGAAGTACATGTACCAAGTAGTTGCGGACTTCAGCAGGACTAGGAGTTATACGATCGTGATAAAGAGTTTAGCGCTGTCCAGTGAATGGGACACCGAGGTCAAAAGCCCATTCCTTGGGCTTTTCCAGCGGCAAATGCTGACAAGGAAACTGCATGACCTACACAATACACAGTGACAGTGTGCTTTCACGGTACATGTACATGTACCTCCGTGGGAGAAACCACAAAGTCTGGGTGCCAATTTTGGATGAATGGACTGTACTGTACTCGGTAGCTACATAAGGACGCGTACGCACCAGAGAGCCGTGAATGTACATGACTGTAGCCCCTCGTACGCACTAGGTCATAGCGAGCCATTCTTGCAGGTGAAGGGAACCTGCAACAGCAGGTAGAACGGGACAACTGCTGAAAGGATGTGCCGAAATGGGCACCCGGCCAGGGAGTCGTAAAACACCACCCAGGGCTAGGGGTACCTTCGTCTCCCTGATTGGGCACTGACATTTTTTTTATTTTGGTACAGTTGCTGGCACGATTCTCAGAAAGAAGAGAAGTTGCACAGACGCGTCTCCTTCCTTCCGGATTTGCTTTTACGTTATTGCACTCAGCTCCAGGTTAATGTGCCAAGCTAAATAAACACCAAACAAACCTGCACCGCGCACGGACTCGGATCTATCTGTATCTTTATTTATTTGAGGGATGACCCAGAGGCTAGGTAGGTAGCCTATCGGGGGGTCTCCACTTGTGCGATATTGAATAGGTAGCATAACAGGGGGGGGGGGGGGTCGGGAATATCGCTGGTCTGAAGTGACGCTCCGCTCTACAGCTTTGTTCCTACTCGTATGATAAAATCAAGAGTACATAAGCTCCCTGGTGACCCAGCTTATTTTACTCTTGATAAAATCGATAAGCCATGAAGTGAACCCCTCCTGGCTCCTTGCCTTGGAACCAACTGCTCAATCCAAGAAACGACGACACACCACTTACTTGAACATAGACCTGCGTACTGCAAGGAAATGTTGCAGTGCTCGACATTTTTGTCATGACGTCACACCAGAGCTACCGGTTGCGGTTGCGAAGGCTATGATATGGGAGCACAAAGTCGACAAACCCCACGGCACAGGAGCTCCGGAGCCCTACACCATTTGTACACGTGGGCCATGTAAGTGTGGGGCTACCCTCAGAGTCCCTGGCCGACCCATAAACAGATCCGGGAGCATGCAAACGAGTCCTTTTTCAGTACTCGTGTGGACTTGTCAATATGACAGCTTCTGTCGTAGAATCTACGGTACACATACACGGAATTCTAGAATTCGAACAACTATTGCACTCGATAGGAATGCAAACGCGGAGATAAAGAATGTAGGTTGAGTTCACAGTGCCACCAAGCTCGCATTTGTTGACGATGCAAAGTGAGCAGTTTCTTGTCGAAAGCAGTCACCCACGAAAGTTACTTGCCTTTCAACCTTCCTATTTTTATTGATGGTGACGAAAACAGTTGTGTTCAAAGTATTTTCGAGGAGCTTCACCATTGAATCGGTAGCAGAAGAAATTTGATCTAGTGCATTGTCCCCAACCGATGCCACTGGAGGCGGACGGCTTTCCTGTAAAGGGAGATTGCTCGGGAGAACGTCAACGAACGCGCTTCCCAGAATAGAGGAAACAACTTGATCAGTGTCGTACGTGCGGCAAAGTGGGAGACCGAGAGGAAGCCGGGAGTGCTGAAGGAGCTCGAATAAGGAAGGCCTTGTCCTAATCGGGATAGCGGGTGTGGATTTGCAGCTTGGCGAGCAAGCGGCTTCCCGGACGTCCATTCCGCCATACAGTGTACTGGGTCGTTCCTGGAGGCAAGGTAAACATTTTGATTGCATATTGTGTTCAGGAAAAGGTTTGTTCAGGGAGTAGGTTGCTTGCATATGGTATCGAATGCGAAAGGAATGCTGAAGCATCGTTAGGGATTGAGCATCTCCAACAAGGCTGTCCTATAAAGGTAAATTGAGTAGCGTAGAGTCTGAGGCGAGCGTAGTGGCAAGAGACGTTCGTAACCTCTCGACTCTCTTGTTTCGATGAACCGGACGCGTTGAGGACAGCGCTCTATCTCCTCTCCCGCGTCGCCTGTTGGGCCCCTACATGCCAGCTTGTAAACAAAATGATGAAGTATGGACCAGCCTGTGTTGATTTGGGAGCCATACTTGCCACCCCTGACACAAAGATCGTGTGATCGTCTGTAAAACCTCTCTCCTGTGTAAAAAAAAGCCTGTTTCCGGAATGCAATCCTGATTGTCACCATGCACCGCTGGTCCAGTGTGCATGGGTCTGGTTCTAATAGACATAACGGTACTTCAGGGTGCATCGTATGTAGTAGCAAGAGTATGTACTAAGTCTTTATTATATAACCCCCAAGAGTGTGCCACTCCTGATAACCTTCCTATGGGGTACGCCGACGGCGAAAACTCACATCACGTGGTGCAGGGTCGCAGTTGCACGTTTCCAGCCCGTTTTTAGCGAGAAGTAGAGTAATGAAAAAGCACTCTCTGACAGAAACTCACTGCGGGTATGCAAATCCCCAGCGCAATCACGGCAGATGTTCGGATTGCGCACACGCTATCCTTTGTTTCTGCGTAGTACGAGTGTACCTGAGACACGTGATGTGATTTTTCGCCGCCGGAGACCCCATATGCAGAGTTGCACACTCTCTGGGGGTTATAATTATACCCTTGCTAGTAGCAAGAGTCCACAATCCCCTCCCCACAGAGTGTGCAACGCCTGATCCAGCTCTGCATAGGGTCTTGGTCGAGCGTAGTCGGATCTTCTGACGTCATGCGTACACTCTACACCAGCGCAAGGACCTTTCTCGAGGCAGGGCACCGTTATAATTTGATCGGAGAGTCCCCACGCCTCCCCGGGTTCCCCTCAGATGTGTACGGTATTGTGACAGAAAGATCCGATTTCGCTCGACCAAGACCCTAGCTATGCGGAGCTGGATCGGGCATTGCACACTCTGGGGTGGGGTTATGTACTCTTGTTAGTAGTATCTGTAAAGGCAGAAGAGAACAGTGTCTCTTGCGACGTTGAGTTTCACGCACATAGTAAGGGAACAGTCAGACCTCGCTTAATCGCACACATTCTTTCTTCCACAAAAATATCCGGATAGGCGAGGGAACCGGATAATCGAACACCGGCTATGTTGGAAGCTTCACGTATTCCGCACATCTGTAAACAGCTATCTACTTCCGGATGGCGGGGGATCCGGATAAAGGAGACTGGATAAGCGAGGTCTGAATGTACGGCAATCCTCAGACAACTGAAATCTCTAGGTAGATTGACTACAAGCTTGAGCTGCATAGGAAACTAGCCAGAGCATAGGCCTGGTATGGCATCGCTTCCAAGAATTCTGGCTGGAAACTTTTTTTTTTTTTTTTTAAATCTTTGAGCAGTCTGGCTCGGCGGTGCTCTTGAAGAACGTTCTTAGAAACAGATTGAACTGGACCTCATGCCCGCAGCATTACAGAACGTGTTGCCTGAAACGTTAGGAACCTTAGCCCGGTCTGTCAGTATCGCATGTTTGAAAGATATGCGACGTCATGTTAGGGGTTTTGTACGGATTATGTTGAAATTGGGTGAATACGTAGGGCAGGCAAGCTGCCATGCACCAATAGTGCCACCTAAATACGGTGCATATATAGATGTATGTGTACAGTTGGCCGTCTTTAATCTGGAACTTTAAAAACCAGCACCCTCAATAAACCAGCGTAATCTTCAGGAACCAAAATGTCCTCTTCATGCACAGTACAGCAGTAGATCATGATTTGCTACTTCGGCACGCTCCCCAATCCAGCAGGATTCCCGTAGGACAAAATGGTGTCAGCTTTTACAGGGGCCCAGTGGTCACCACTGTGTTGCAGACTGAGCTGCCCGAAACCCAACACCGACTTTTGATGACTTTCGCCCTGTGCTGTTTTTTTTTCCTTTTCCAGGCTGGCCGTTCTGGTCTTCACGTTCTTGAACTGCGCAGCTCTACTGCACAGGAACAAGCCCGGAGTTAAAAGACACCACACAACGGTTTGTGCTTTTACAACCAACTCACATTGCTATTTTTGTAGTCATTTACAGTTTGCAGTGATTTTTACAAGGATTTACAGTGACTGTGAAACAGAGGGTACCAGGTTCAAGTCCCGCTGGGAAGCGGAAGGACATTTTCCAGCTGTGCTGCGACCCACAGTTATTCGGGAACTCGTGGCCTGGCACGAGGAAAACATGGATGCATTGAATGGGATATTCGGTCTTTGACCACTTGCTGGTGAGCTGATCTACTCACCTCCCTCCGCTTTAGGAGCTGCATCTGCAACTACGGATGCGGAAACCTCGGCCTCTAGCCGAGTCTGACGCGAACCGTGAAATTAATTTTACAGTGATCTAGCTCCATTCGTGCAGCGGAAATCCTGCTGGATTAGGGGAGGGTGCTGGATGAACAAATGTGATTAACTGCTGCACTGTGCATGAAGAGGTTGTTTTGGTTACTGAAAATTGTGCTGTTTTTTTTTTAGAGTGCTGGTTTGCAAAGTGCTGGATTAAAGAGTGACGACTTTGTATTTTATACTATCATTTCAGCCTGAGAAATTTTGCGCAAGGCCCATCTTCATGAATGCACGGTCGCTGCGGACAAAACTGGCCGGAGGTAGTGTGTGATTGTTTGCCCCTCAGTGGGTATGGCGTCCTTCGTTGCCCGGGCATCGCAGGGGAACCTGGGCGGGGTCTATAGAAATGACAAATATGCACACTATGCCCCAAAAGGCGTGAGGTTTGTTATAGCGATCGCATGACAGTGTGCGTAAAATAGTGTTGTGGTGAAATTCCAACTCGGTCAGAAATATTCACGCAGAACTGGTGAAGAGATAGCACGCCAATTGCAGGAGCCAATATCTACGGCACGACAGCATAGCCGTCTGCTCAATTGGTCCCAAAACAACAACAACAACTGCCTTGCCCAATCAGATCGTATAAACTTCTACTTTTTTCCTGTTTCCTGTGTTTGCAACACAGCACGGCCTGTCTGTCCACAGAGTGGATGATGCAGAACAGGGCGACCATGCAGCCTCGACTGCTTCTTGTGCTAAGCATGGGAACGCTGGCATTGGCGCTGATGGCACGGTGCGTAACTGCCCAGACTAGTATGCCACCACTCAACAAGACAGCGCAGACATTTACAGTTGTCACCTCCAGCACTCTCACACGTGAGTACTGCCGGCCTGGTCGGTGTGTTGCACTACTGTTTTCGAATGCGGCTATTGCAGGCAGCGCCTTGTGCTGTGAATGACATTGCAGTTTCTGCTTTAGATTGAGTAAGAGAGTTGAGTGACATCATAGTCCGGCATTTGTATGGGGTTGAGTGCTATCATTGTCTGTGCTTTGTATTAAGTTGAATGACATCATCGTCTGTTCCTTATATTGAGTGGCAAACCAGTGAAAAGATTGATAACCATCCCGTTGCACCAACTGCCAAATGAGGAACAAGATTCAATGCGCAATGTTTACGTGCATGTGCGTCTGTCTATTTGCCCGTATGTCTGTCTGCCGGTGCGCCTTTCTATCTGCCTGTTCATATGCCTCTCTGTCTGTGTCTCTGTCTGTGTCTTTGTCTGTCTGTCTGTCTGTCTCTCTGCCTCTCCATGCGTCTGTCTGTATGCCTTTGTGCCTTTCTATCTACCCGTCTATCTCCCTCTCTATCTGTGTGCGTGTTTGTCTATATGCTTGTCTGCCTGTCTGTCCATCTGTGTGCTGCATTTTGCTCCCGTAGCTGTGGCCAGCCTGAATGTAAGTGGGCTGTATTCCGAGAGCGTCGTGCTGAGTTGGGAAGCAGACACGGGCAGCGCGTACAACGTATCATGCAGCGCTGACGTCGAGCAACACCTGGGAAACCACACCATCACCCGGGTAGGTGGACGCCCAGTTGAGCATGTTATTGCAATAGGCCACTCCTTGTGTATCCATTGGCTCATTCTGTTTGCGTTTCTGCCAGAATGCTCTCGTTCGGCAACAAAATAACATAATTTTATTCAGTTTATTCATTCCAGCATCTCAAGGCGCAGTGGGAACACTGGTCAATGTGAAGAGAGTGGGTGTTAGCCAAACACAGTAGATTACTACGTACTAGGGGTGAAAGTTGGCAATGAGATCCCGAGTTCGAGTACTCTGATTTTCTGCGATCGAATATTCGAGTATTCGAGTATCCTTCATCTCCTAAAATTGCACACCAAGGGCCCTCAAATCGCAGGATACAACCCCGATTGAACCGAGTAGCAATCATTTTTCTCAGGTATATTGGTTGGTGGGTCATTTGGGGTCCCTCTACTCGTGAACAAATGTTCCCCACACAGTCTGCACATCAATATCTGCCGACTGCTGCTCTGAAACTGCAGATTCAGTGGTAAACGCATGTACCATGTATGAACGAGTACTCTGATTTATTCCGAGTACGATTATTTTTGAAAAAACCGAGCGAGTACTCGAGTACTCGGTATAATTGTTTCACCCCTACTACGTACTGAAGTGATGGCAGAAGCGCAGGAAACAACTGCTGTGTTCTAGTCCTATCTTCGTTCTCCCTGCATGCAACTTTGTTTTCTTTCTTGTTATTGATTTTTGTCTCGAGCCGGGTTTGTGTTCTTTGTAAAAAAACCTTGGGCTTTTTGCTGCTCGGCCGCTTCCGTTCTGTATGCTGAAGGGCTCGGCTTTGCTCCTCGTGTTGTGAATTTCGATTCGATTACTATTTGGGGATGATGTCATAATAGTTATGGTTCTTGCCTTGTAGAGTCCGATGTCTCATGTCGTAAATTTGATGGACAAAATAAAGTTGCGTTTGTATTCTGCATGGCCACAGGGACGGTCGTCCTGCATCGTGTAACGAGTCCTGTGTCTCGTGATTTCTGTGTGTTTGCGTGTGTGTGTGTTTGCGTGTGTGTTTGCGTGCGTGCGTGTGTGTGTGTGTACGTTCTTTGGTGCAGGGCCTGCTGAACGCCACGTTAGTCCGACTGAGTGTACTGCCCGACCGTATGTACTCCTGTTCTGTTCTGAGACTGGTGCGGCACCCAAGCACAGGGAACGGAACGCAGGTCGAGGAGATTGCCGCAAGCTGGACTGACGTGCACTTCAAAACCCCTGAGTGTAAGTCAGGCTCGTGCTTTCGAATCTGCAGCATGCTAGAATGCCATGCTTTCCTGGTCTCTCTCTGTGTGTCTCTGTGTGTGTGTGTCTCTCTCACTGTCTCTCTCTGTCTCTCTGTCTCTCTCTCTCTCTCTGTCTCTCTGTCTCTCTCTCTCTCCAGGGATGAATTTATTGTTATATTTTGCATGGCAGTTTCTGCTATACAAAATCACAATTGTGTAGCAATCTTTGATTTTTGATTAGCATTTTTCTTTGAGGGTTGGGTGTTTACCAGTACCACGTTGTCCTTCTGGAGAGTGATGCCGGAAAGCCCATTTGTAAAAAACCGACTGAATTTTTACATGTGCACGCAGATTGAGAGTGCCTCCACCACATACACTGCACTGTATGCATGTCACTTGACAGCACAGGCTAGGCATGGATAGTCTGTATGTATCGCAGTTTTCTGCGAGTCACGGTGACTTTTGAGTAGCAGTAGATCAATTTTGCATCGCAAACTGCGATGCGATACAGGATACATTCATCCCTGGAGAGTCTCTCTCTCTCTCTCCCCCTCTCTCTCTCTATCTCTCTCTCTCTCTCTCTCTCTCTCTCTCTATCTATCTATCTATCTATCTCTCTCTTTCTGTTTCTCTCTCTATCTCTGTCTCTCTCTTTCTGTCTTTCTCTCTCTCTGTTCTCTCTCTCTCTCTGTCTCTCTCTCTCTCTCTCTCTCTCTGTCTCTCTCTCTCTCTGTCTCTCTCTCTCTCTCTCTCTCTCTCTCTCTCTCTCTCTC